CTTTTGGACTAACTTGGCAACGTACGAATCATTCACATTTTTCCCGGGATGACTGTTATTAAAGAGGCGAGCAGTAAGTCTAGCATAACTATTATGTTGATAATGAAGTTTAACAATTTCAACTCGTTCAGGAATGGAATATACCATTTTTACAGTAAAGTTGAAATAATTTCAAAAGCAACCGAACTGAATCAATGAACGTTTGTCTAAATTCTTTTTGTACACTTATCTGCTATTGTTATTTGAACCAAAAAACGCACGAGAGAAATCGAGGAATGTAGTAGTGATGAAAATGCCGTTTTTTCCGCATTTTTATTAACACCAAAAATATCGAGTAAATGTTCTTGCTTTTTTTATAATTATTCAAGTAAAAACAACAAATAAGGTATCACTGTAAAGAAAATGTTGTGCCCTTTCAAATGATATATCACTCGACCCCACTTTCCATTTAAAATTTTAGGGTTGTTACTCACCCTCGCTAGGGGGTTGAAGGCACAGGTAGAAAAATACATCTAAAATGTGTCCCCCTCAAAAGCAAAATTGACCTGTCCAAAAAAAGGAGAAAAGCAAGGTGCATATTTCTCGTTGGACTTTCGTTGGAAGTGTTAAAAAACATAGAAATTTTCATTTCTCTTTTCATTATGATCTCCTACCACGTAGTAACGGCTACATCCATCAATTTATACAAAATTACAGCTTCTTAAAACATACCCGTACAGAGACAGTAACGAAAAGGTAATTTTTATATGTAAACGCGCCCCTACGAGGGATCCTAAGTTGGAACATTTAAAAATCCTTTCATATTGCACACCTACAACAGCCTCCGAAAATATAGTGGTACGGAGAAACAGTGAGTACACTAGTAAACGCTACCTTTTATCCCCGATGGACGCCCTAGTTGGAATATTTAAAAATCCTTCCATATTGCACACCTACAAGTTAAAAAAACCTACATAGAAAATAACGGTATGGAGACAGTAAAGAAAAGGTAAATTTCATATGTAAACGCGTCCCTCTATTACCTCCACGAGGGATCCCCAGTTGGAATATTCAAAAATCCTTTCATATTGCACATCTACAACATAAAACGAATCTACATACAAAATTTCAGCTTCCAAAAATATACCGGGTACGGAGAAACACTGATGAAAAAGTAATTTTAACATGTATTCGCGCTCTTTTCACTCCCACGGGGGATCCCCAGTTGGATTATTTGAAAATTCATTCTTAGTGCGAATCTAAGACCAAATTTCAGCTTCCCAGGACTTACTAGTACGGAGAAACATAGTTGAATACGTTTTAAATGAATTTTGCATTTATAAGTAGGTATAGATGCATTTAAAATGAGAATCTAGTGTGTCACTGAAAGAAGCAGAAGTAACTACTTAACTGAAAATGGAAATTTTCCAAAATAAATTATGTGGCCAAAAATGAAACAAAATGTGGCATAATGTTGAAAAAGGAACAAAATCTGAACATGAAGGAAACAGCAAAGTAACAAAATTGAAGTCCACACTTCAGGGAGTTTCGTTTATTTGTATCGACTTTCTTGAACGCGTGTCCGCGTGATGTTATGACATTCTGTACCGTGTAGGTACCCCAATTAATCTAAAGAGGCCATCAATCTAATGGCCATCGCGCCAGTCTACCGTATTCATCAGTTTAAGTTAGTATTGATTTCTTCCAAATCATGGAGTGTCAAATCGATTTGGAATTCAATTCGTTGTTGTTCATGGTCGATTGTGAGCTCGCGCGGCACCCACTTTGAACAGAGCTTTCGCATA